ATTTGGTGAGCTTTGCTTTATGCTTTTGTATATGCAGGCCAAATACTTTCAGCCACTGAAATTTTACAGTAAAACTTCAGATGATATGTGGTTGTTTTCACTGTTAAGTTAATAACTACACTACGTAAAAGAGCAGAGATTTCTTGGGATCAAAATGAGTAAGTGGGGAGAACAGAGCTGGGAAATTGCATTTGTGCCTAAATGCCTCATCCATTTAACTTTGCATACAATTTTTAAAGTAAATAATAAAGCAAAAGCCCAAATTCCTAAGGGGACTGATGTTCCCAGCTCATTAATTTCAATGGTATTTAGTTACTTGACTTCCTTACCTAAGGGCGACATCCCTGTATCTGATTTCTCATTTGATGAATGCTTTTAAGAGCCTACATCCCATTAATTTTCAGTAATATTCAGCCCCATAAGTACTTGAGTCACTACTGAAAATCAGATTTAGGGACTATTCACAAGTGGGCTAATCTGTAGTCCCAAGGGAGATGGGCTCATCTTGTGGGGTGAGCAGGATCATGCTGGGTGCTCTAAGACAGCCCTTGCAGGACCCCATTGACTGAGGAATCAGAGAAGATCAGTCCCCAGTGTAAAGGTAGCCCCTGTAAGCACTCCTGGTGGGCTCCTGATGCCAGGCTGACATGCTTTTCCTGGTGTCTCCTGGCCTGGCAAAGTAGCTTGCTGCACTGCGGCTGCCACACAGTGTTGAAACCCTTTTCCTTTCCAGCATTAAAGGGACAACAGTTGAAATTTCCAGCTTTTACATGCTGTGTCAAAATAGGGTTTTCCTAAGAGATAGCGTGTCTTAAACTGGTGTCTTAAACTTATCCCCTGCCCCAGATCATGCTGAAGAGCAGAATTCAGCCGCCAGTACCAAATGGATTTGAATGACTACTGACCTTCCCAGCTGGGTCGCCCTTCCAGCAGCAAAATGGCACCTTGTTCTGAAATGTTAGTGGGCCTTGGAGAATTTGGTTCCCTGGGCCTGTGTTCCTTCTGTCCCAGGCAGGGTAACCCTGTTTGACTAACTTTCTCCATGGTAAGCAGAGTGTTTACTGGCTTGTATCTGTCTCAGCTTTGACACTCTAACAAAAGTTAGCAATCATGAATGCATCCCTTTATTTCTGCTCCACAGTGCCTCTCTTTTTTTCTATGTAAACCCTGCGCTTGCCTCTTGCCCAGCCTTTAGAAATGATGATCAAATGCGAACTTTCAGGGTTTATTTATAGCATAGCCTTTATGGAAAGAGAGAAAAGAAATGATTAAAAAGCAATTTTACAAAATATTTTGTTTTAAGAGAGAATTCATTGTGTTTAAATCACTGTATTCATTGTACTGTCTAGACTGGCAAACAAAGAAGATACAGCATCATTCAAATTAAGACTGTGAAATTCTTGGTGACTGGAATTATGGATTTGGATGTCAACCCTCAAACGAACTATTTCTGAACAGCAGTATTATCACTTTGCTATATTTAAGGCTTTGTTGGAGGCAGAACAGTGCACAAGGTTGATCTGATTCAGTAATGCGATTCTAATGTTCCTTTGTTTCTGATTTCATTATAAATTCATATTTTCAATGTTCTGTTCCTCTTTGTCCCCAGAAAATTGTTGAAAAGACGCTCCTCTGGGAGTAAAGTTTTTGTTCAAACTAACAATGGCCAAACTGGCTTTAAAAAACAAGAAATACACAACCGAAATGCAAATTAGGAGACGGAATTCAATTAGGGTATTTTGAGCAACCTAGAATGAGTGAGTTGCTGAAAATTATTGGCTGTGTCGGGTTTTTTTAACATGTTATTCCACATTACCATGGTGTAGTTGCTGTGAGACCTTAATGCTGTGGGTTCTCAAAGACCTATGTATTTTCAGCAGATTTAAAAATACAAAAGTATTTTACCTGATAAACTGGAAAGACATGGCACCTTCCTCCTTAGCTAAACGTGGATAGATGGGTGAACTAGCAAAGATAAGCAGCAGCCAGGTCCTGTTCCCTAGTTTAGATCTGGTCTTGAAGGACAAATCTTCCTTTAGGGACCTCTCTAGCCTATCCTGCTGCCAGCCCCATCATTCAATCATAGAATCATCTAGGTTGGAAAAGACCCTTAAGATCATTGAGCCCAACCATAAACTTGGAGCAGTGGTTCCCTCTCCGGCTACCCGTCAGAGGATGGAGCCTCTCTGCCAGGGGTTTCAGGTTTGGGGAGACCTCACAGGGACTGTTAGGAGGCTTTCATCAGCCCTGTGGAGACTTGGTTTCACCCTTTGAAGACCACCATGACAAAGTGCTTGGTCTGAAAGCTGAAGTGTTGCAGGTGCCCTGTGTGGTGTTGGGCCCCAGCAAGGTGGCAGAGGCGTGGGTGGGGAGCAAGGGGTTGTGCAGGAGGGAGCCCAGGCCAGGGCTGCAGCGGCCAGCAGGACAGCCGTGCCAACCAAGGCTGTCCTCACACCTTCCACGCCTGGTGGAGTCGGGGCTGGTGTCTGTTCTCTCTTGAACCAGCCCGAAGAGACCTGTAGTTCGATGGGTAACAGTATAAAAATAAAACCTGTCTGAAGATATGTTTATCTCAAAAGGCTGGCTTATTTCCCAAAGAAGCAGTAATGCATTTTTCAGTGCTTGAAGTTGTAAGAGGCCCCAGAGTAAAGCAGAACATGAGCGTGTAGAATACTTATGACAGAAGCAGAACATGTCCTGGGAACGGTGCTGTGTCCTGTTCTCTTAATGCTTCCCAGAATAGGGCAGCAGCAGGCAGACCCTACGTGTGCGCGGAGGGGGTGCATGGTGAAGTTTGGCCCTCCCTTTCATTTTTGTTACACCTGAGAAAAAACTGGATTTGTCTGAGACGTTTAGACCCTTTAGATGTCTTAGTTTTATTTTTGTGCAGTATCTCCAAGGCAATTCAAAAAGCAGGGAGCAGAAAGCAAAGCAACTCTTTCCATTAGAGTTCTTTGAGGGGCTTTGCCTTATGTTTTCTGTAAGACATAAAACTACCTGGAAAAGCAGTATTGATTGTAACAGAGGGAATTGTCTTTTACTTTGAGGGATTTTTTCTGTGTGTTCATTCATTTTTTTGGGTAGCTTCAAAATCCAGCTGGCCATGTAAGGGAGTTGTAAAAGATAGGCTATTGTAAACAGGAACAATGCTTGAGCAAGCATCTCCTGTTAAAGAACAGGGAATAAATGCCCATTTCTCTCACTGGGAAAGATATCAACCTTTCCATGCCAGTATTTTAATCTGGCTGGCGTGCAGAGTCTCTCTGCCAGCAGGCTCACATGTCCCAGAGAAAAGAACACACTATCTCACTGGAAGTGTTATTTCAAGGGTGTTTCTTGGGGAATCAAAGTCTAATCAACTTCTGCACGTATGAAAGAGTATAGGCATACGAGTGCACAGAAATGCTCCTGCTGTTTAGTCAGAAGCACTAACAGGGTAAATCCTGACTGCACCGTCACTGGCAGTGGTTTTTACTTTGGTAGAGCCACAATTTCATCCAGTATTAACCGCCTGAAGTTGACAAATGTAGAAAGTAGGTGTTCCACACTCTAGTAGCATACTTGGACTGGCAGTGTAAAAGGACGTGTTGGTGCTGAAGCGAACACGCCCAGAACATGCCAGGTAATACTGCAGGTTCAGCCAGGCAGGCAGGGCTGGGGACTGCCTGCTGCTCTGGCACACAGGCAGCATCCCAGGCAAACACTGCTGTGCGTGGGAGAAAGAGGACCTGCTGGCTTCATGGGCAGCCCGCTTGCATCCCGACATTTCAGTCATGATCATATTTCTTTAACATAGGGGAAATGGGAAACCAGAAGGTGTAAGGTCTGCCGGTCATCTTACTTCTCCTCAGAGCCTCCCTGCCTGTCCTAGGCCAGTGAAACTGTGCTTACATTCCTCATCTACATCGTAAAGTTCTAGGAGATCCTCAGCTGTAAAATGCGGGATTAGTGGGAAGCAAAGATTTTACTACAGCAGATACTACAGCCTATAAAATCATCCAACCCTTTTAAAAATCTAGCCATAGCATTTGACGAGATGGCTTCCAGCAGCAGCACAGGCTGACTGGTCTCCAGGGGTCATTCTGATCCTCTCTCAGTGCGGTGCTTTAGGCACTAACATTAAAACAGATTTAGGGTCCTGCTTAGAAACTATGAACACTGATAGAAATTTAGTTGGACACTGTTTCTCGAATCCTGATCTTTTATGTTTAACACCATTCCATCTGAAAGCTATTTAATGCTCCTTGTGAAATAACTTCCACCGAAAATAGTCCATGCCTGCTGCCTCCACCCCTGCCTGAGAGCTTGTTCCTCCATTGACATCGGTGATAAGTGTCTCATTCCAGTGAGATTGCTCAGGAGAATCTACAGAAAATCAGAATCTCACAGAGATCAGGAAAGGAACCAAAGTATTCGGTCCTGTCCCTTCCACATGGGACCCTGTCCCAGAGACTCCTTCTGCAGGGGATTCTGCGAGATCTCTTCGTCTGGCTTTGTTTTGGCAAAAGTAGGATCAAAGTCTATGTCTTACACCTTTATACTGGAATGTGAGGGCAGCTGTGGGCTCCATAACAGGACTTTGCAAGTTACCTTTAGCTTCTTGAGCACACTCGAGTCCTCCCTTGCTGCAGGGAATTGATACTTCAAGGATATAATTAAGGGATCTCATGTACAGTGTCATTTTATTTGAGAAATCTCCCCTCCGGGGAATGCAGTGTTTAACATTTCCTTTGGTTAGTGTAAATAATAAAAGGTAAGTCTGTTCTGCCTCGGACTCCCAGTAAGAAAGAGGAACAGATTTTGGTTTACTGAGGGGTCTGCAGTACTTTGTTCTCATGACTACTATATAATGGGATTGAACATATTTTATGCCATCTGGCCTGTTCAGCCGCAACAAAATACATCAGTAATGTTCCGATGGGTTTTGAAACATCTTGTTCTTGTCAAAAAGTATTTTAAATCAAAACAGGCTTTTCCAGTTTGTGTTTGTCTTTTACTAGGAGGCCATGGCGAAAATGGGGAAAATCGGGAGAGTTGTGCAGCCCAACCATGAGCATAAAAGGTAATCCCGACTTTCGTGTGTTCGTCTGTGAGAATCTGCTGAAGGTGAAGTTGAGGTCTGTCTCTTTATAGCTCTGCTTGAATGCAGTAGTATTTGTCACCCAGATTTTTTAAGGATTATGTGGGCATCCAGCTCTTTAACCTGGCTGCGGGCAGTCGTTTGCTGCCAGCGGGATGGGAGCACCATAGCCTGTAAGGCTCTGCCCATGCCCGCGGCTTCCTTGGCGAGCAAACGCCAGCGGCAGCGCCAGGGATGCGAGGGACGGTTCCCAAGCTGCCGGGGGTAAGAGCAACCTAAGCTGCAGTTCCAAAGCGGCCGCGGCGAGGCCTTTGCGTAATTCCACCTCTGCGTCCCCAGCGAGCCGCACAGCCCCCAGGGACCCG